ATTTTGTGGAAATTTGGGGGAAATTTGGGGGAAAAAAGGGGAAATTTGGGGAAATTCGGGTGAAATTTGGGAATTTTCGGGTTTTTTTGGGGGGGTTGGGGGAAAAAAGGGGAAATTTGGGAGGGAAAAGGGGAAATTTGGGGGAAATTGGGGGGAAAAAGGGGAAAATTCAGGGGGAAAAATTGAAAAAAATGGAATTTTGGGTTTTTTTAGGGGAGTTTGGGGGCAAAAAGGGGAAATTTTGGGGGAAAAAGGGGAAATTTCGGGGTTAAAATCGGGGAAAAAGGGGAAATTTGGGGGTTAAAAGTGGAAAATTCGGGGTTAAAAATGGAAAAATTTGGAAATTCGGGGTTTTTTAGGGGGGGTTTGGGGGTAAAAAGTGGAAATTTGGGGTTAAAATTGGGAGATTTGGGGTTAAAATTGGAAAATTCGGGTTTTTTAAGGGGAGGTTTGGGGGATTTTTTGGGGAGGGGTCTCCAAATCGGGGTTTTGGGGGGTCGGGGGTGAATTTGGGGAGGGGTCTCCGACCGTTTTTGGGTGAAATCTCGGGGATTTTTAGATTTTTTCGGAGCTTTGGACCTCTGAAAAATCGGATTTTTTTCCAATACTTTTTTTTTTTCCGGGGTTTTTTTTGGGGAGGGGTCTCCAAATCGGGGTTTTGGGGGGTCCGGTGTGAATTTGGGGAGGGGTCTCCGACCGTTTTTTGGGAGAAATCCCCCATTTTTTTACTTTTTCGGGGGTTTTGACCTCTGAAAAATCGGATTTTTTTCCAATACTTTTTTTTTTCCGGGGTTTTTTTTGGGGAGGGGGCTCCGACCGTTTTTTGGGAGAAATCCCCCATTTTTTTCCTTTTTCGGGGGTTTTGACCTCTGAAAAATCGGATTTTTTTCCAATACTTTTTTTTTTCCGGGGTTTTTTTTGGGGAGGGGGCTCCGACCGTTTTTTGGGAGAAATCCCCCATTTTTTTCCTTTTTCGGGGGTTTTGACCTCTGAAAAATCGGATTTTTTTCCAATACTTTTTTTTTTCCGGGGTTTTTTTTGGGGAGGGGTCTCCAAAGCGGGGTTTTGGGGGGTCGGGGGTGAATTTGGGGAGGGGTCTCACCCAGACAATCGAGGCGGGCGGGGTCCAGGCGGAATCCGGGGTCGCAGGCGCAGGTGAAGGCGTCGCCCAAACGAACGCAGCGCCCGTGGGTGCAGCCGCTCAGGACCCCGCACTCCTCCGAAAGAACCCCTAAAAATGGGTCGGGGGGCTTCAGACCCCTCCCCAAAAATCCCCCGAACCCGCCCCAAAAAAACCCGGAGCGAATAAATAAAAAAAACCCGGAAAAAATGGGGATTTTCCATAAAAAATGAGGGGAAAAAAGAGGATTTCGCGTTAAAAAAAAAAAGGTTAAAAATCCCCAAAATGCCCCGAAATTGACACCGAAAAAAAGCCAAATTCGGCCCAAATAAAAGCCGAAAAAAGCCTGGAAGGAACAAATTTTAAAAAGCCTGAAAATCCCACTAAAAATGTAAATATTCCACAAAAAAAAAGTGGCGAAGGAGTTCAAAACTCCCCCCGAAAAAACCAAAAATCCCCAAAAACTCCACGAAAAAATATCGGAAAAAAGCCAAAACCACACAAAACTCCCC